GAATTCTATTAAATTACGAAAGTAGAACAATATTTGATGAAAAATTAATAGCAATACATATGAAAAGGACAAAACTAGTCTGTGATAAGCCAATTTCTTTGGGTATGTGCATTTTAGATTTGAGTAAAATACTAATGTACAAATTTTACTATGATTATATAAAAAATAAATATTCAGATAAAGCTAAACTGTTATTCACAGACACAGATTCTTTAGCCTATGAAATAAAAACAGAAGACTTTTATTCAGATATTGTAAATGATGTTGAAAGTAAATTTGATACAAGTGAATTTGACAAAAATCATCCATCCACTACTAATGGTTTAAAACAGGTAAGAATATGCTAAAAATAGGCATGTTTATAGACGAATCAAAATGAGCACAAATTGAAGAATTTGTAGGTCAAAGATCAAAATTGTATTCATACAAAATAAATGGAGAAGATAAGAAAAAATGTATGGGAGTAAAGAAAAATGTTGTTAAAAAATGTATAACACATGAAGATTACAAAGATTGTCTTATGAATAGAAAAGATCAAATGAGAAAAATGAATGTCATAAGATCTCATTTACATGATGTTATATACAGAAGAAATAAACAAAATAGCACTCAGTGCTGAAGATGACAAAAGAATTATTTTAGAAGATGGAATTCATACATTAGCATATGGACATTATAAATTAACAAAGTCAGTATCCCTTCGGGATCTAAGTATAGAAAAAGAGAAACCCAACTTTTCATTTCAGATTGATTGGAATGAAAGGGATAGTATTGACATAGTAAAACCCAACTTTTCATTTCAGATTGATTGGAAATAAACAGGCACAGGTAGGCAGGCAGGCACAATAAAGTCGACGAGTCTCAAATAAGATAAAAAACAGGTAAGCAATTTTTTAAAAATCATTTAAAAAAATCTAACAAAGTCTTGATTTTTTTTATAAAAAAATCTAAAACTATTAATAAAAATGGAAAAACTAATCTATGTTGAAGGAATCATTTTACCAAATGAACCGCTAACAAACTTTCAATTAATAAAAGCAGCAAAAAAATTTAAAAAAAAAAATAGAGGTGTATTTGTAAGAGATGAATTACCAAAAAATACACAAAAAAAAAGAATGTGGAATATTAAATACTGGAGATTCAAGTTCAAATGGATTTCATTGGACTTGCTGGTATAAAGATGGAGATGATAAATTAAGTTTCGATTCTTATGGACTACCACCACCAGTTGAAATCGTTCAATATTTACACAGTCTACTGACTACTGTAAATTATATGCATAGATGAATAGTACAATTTACAATGGATAATGGACAAAATGATGTGTTATTTCCTTGTTTTCTTAGACTAGAAGTAAATGAATCAGGTAATATGTGTTATGCTGGATACGGTTCAATATTAGCCGGTTTAATAATGCAAGATGCTACCACTTCAAATACATTAAGTATTATAAATTCAGATAAAAATTTGGCGATACTTCCTTGTATGCTAGGTGGTAAAGGCTTTAGTGATGATTATTTTATGCCTTACAGAACTGGATTTAGAAATTTAACTCGTAGAATTAGATATATTTTATCACATTATAACGCAGAATTTTGTGGTATAACTTGGAGTCAAGGAGAAACAGATTCTATAGCTGATTGGAATGATAATTATAGATATATTCTATTAAATTTTATTCAAACCATAAGAGATTATATAGGGTATTCATCTAATCAGTTCTACACGTTAACGAATTCCCAAGTAAAATCGAATATAATTCCATTCGTTACTTTTCAAATGCAACATGAATGGGTTGCAGCTAATTTCACGATGGCGACACCAGTTCAAAATGCACTATCAAGTATCGGAGAATATATTTCACACACATCAAGCATATCTATTAATAATCTTCCACCTTCCATGAGAATTATAAACAAAGACATCATACATTATGACTCGCTTCAACAAATTTTTTAGCTCAAAAATTCTATGATGCATTGATTGTAGCTAAAAATAATTTATATGCTAACAGTATTTATTATCCAATTTACATACCAGGAGAAACGCTAATTGTTAAACAATTAGCATCAGATTTATTTCCAAATTATTATTATGGAGCTTATAATCAGATTAGTTCTACTCCATCTACAGCTTCAAAATATAGTCAATTATTTAATAACTGGCAATATAAAAACAATGATGGATATTATAAATATCGCTTGAAATATAAAATTAATGGCGTCTGGAAAAGTATTATATTTAAACAAGCATTCCTTCCAATGATATCTATGCATTATCAAAATATTGCACAATTAATATCAACTGAAACACCATTCGGCAATACAAATCCAGGTAATGGATTTTCTGGATTAAATTTGACAACTACAAAAAGGTTGATGAGTTCTGGAGCAGTACTTACACTAGATACAGCTAGATCTAGTTGGTGGGCACCTGTGTGTCAAAATTTAAAATTTGAAGTAGTTACTGGTCAACCTGTAATACCTGTATATGATAATTATATCGTTAATAATGCAATCATATCTGCAACTGAAATAGAATTATATGCTATAAGAGACCAATAGAATATTGTTAGGACAATGCTACTATTATGCGTAATAATCCAGCGCATGCGCACTGACAAGTCACGTGACTGATGACGTCACACAAGAAAATTCAGTGATGATAAGAAACGAATTTAGCACTAATTTGAAAACTGATTTTTAAATTTAAAAAAATTGATTTAAAAATTTATTTCTTAATTATACAATTTATACACACTATGGATTAAAATGAACCATATATTTAATTAAATATATGGTTGAAAATATGGTTAAAAATGAAAATGAGCCAGAACTCTCCTTTTCCTACTAATTGGTTTGATGGGAAATATATGCAACTAAGGCAAAAACAAAGAAAAGCAGAAAAATTATTTAAGAGAACCAAAATTGAAAGTGACAAAAAAGAATATATAACAACAATTACTGTTTATGTAGAAAAAGAACGTGTTTCTCTAACCTATTACATAAAAACATCTCAAATAAAAATCTATTCTCAATGGTAAACAAGCTACTAGATAAAACTCAGGAACATGTACTACCATCAGCGAATTCAGACGAAGAACTGGCTAACAACTTCAACAGTTATTTTACCGAAAAAATCAGAAAACTCAGATCAAATCTTTTAACACCCCAAACAAAGAAAAGCGCATCAGATTATAATGGTCAGTTTTTAAGAAATTTTGATCCAACAACTTATGAAGAAATTTAAAATATAGCCATGTCATTTGGAATAAAATGTTCTCCAGATGATCCTATTCCAGTATATCTACTAAAGAATAATTTACAAACATTGTTACATATATGGGTGGAAATAGTAAACCTATTGCTAGAATCAAGCAGCATGGATTGTCTAAAAAGTGCTACATTACTTCCAATAATAAAGAAGTTAGACTCTGCCACCACAGATACACAAAAATTATAGACCAGTTTCCAATTTAGTATTCATTAGCAAGCTAATAGAAAGAGTAGTTTCCAATCGTCTAGATTCCCACATGACAACAAACAATCTTCATATAGAATATCAATAATAGATACAAAAAACATCATTCCACTGAAACACTTTTGCTGAAGCTTACCAATGATATTTTTGAACTCTTTGATAAGAATACACCTTCAGTACTTATGTTACTTGATCTAAGTGCTGCTTTTGACACTATTGATCAACAAAAAGTACTTGGGCTATTAACTAGTGAAATAGGCATAATGGACTCAGCTCACAAGTGGTTTGAATCATTTTTAGTTAATTGTACCCAAAATATTAAAATTGGTAACTCATACTCTACAAACCAAAATGTCAAATATGGAGCACCGCAAGGTGCAGTACTGGGTCCAAAACATTTTAATATTTATATGAGACCACTGTACAAACATCTGAACATAATCAATGTTAAAACTTTTGGATACTCAGATGATCATCAAGCTTTCAAAGCATTCCTTCCTTCTTTGCAATATAATGCATTAGTTCTGGATATACCAGAATGTCTTGGACACATTTCTAAATGGATGAGCGAATCATTCTTATGCATTAAACAATCAAAAACAAAAATACTAATTATGGCACCACCTAACATTCAAAAAGATATTATTATTAAAGGTACTTTTGTTAACAAGGAATGCATTAGATTTGTTGACTCCACAAAAAGTTTGGGTGTGATACTTGACAATGAACTGTCTTTGAAAGCACAGATAAATAAGATTGTCAAAAGTTGTTAAAGTATATAATCAGCAAAATATCCAAAATAAGACAATTCTTATCGCATAAAGATTTGTGCATCATAGTATGTTCATTAATTTTTTCACAGCTAGATTATTGCAACTCCCTCTTTACTCCCTCTTTACTCCCTCTACTTTGGAATTGAAAGGTCACTATTAAAAAAACTGCAGTCTGTTCAAAATTGTGCAGCAAGACTAGTATTTAAAACCAGAATAGAAAATCAAATAGATGACCAGGTATTTATCAATTTGCATTGGCTTAAAATTAGAGAAAGAATTTATTTCAAGGTTTTATTAATAATGCACAAGTCTTTTATCCAGGAAGCGCCAGCATCATTGTGTAATTTGATTGACTTTTCAACATCAGAGAGAACTCTGAAATTAAAAGAAACAAAATCCAGCAATCGTTTTGGTGATCAGGCGGTATCCCACTATGGTCCTAGACTTTGGAATATTCTTCCAAGTATCATTCGAGATTAACAAAACACATCTCTTTATAAAAAAAAACTAAAATCATATTTAATGGTGAATAGCGAACTATTCCACCAAAAAACTCTAGAATATTAAAAATTATAAAGTAGTATAATAATTTATTGCACAGCTGAGCAAGTGTTTTGCCAGCTTACTCTTTATTTGGGCAAAACACAGTAGCTGTGGGTAAACCCATGTATTTTTTTATCTTATAACTATATATTATTTAATATTTTGTTACAAAAAAAAGATTTAACATTTTTTTTTTTTTTTAAGAAATTAGGTTCACTTCATGAGGCTGAAAAATGTGTTATTTTGCCAAAATCTACCTGTCAATTAAGTATATCAAATTTACTGCTGAATGAAATTAGAATAAAAGGTTTTATAATTTGTTATTTTTTTGTTTTTAATAAAAACACAGTGAAATGAAATAACAGTCATCAGATAAAAAATATTTGAATACTTGCAGTATAATAGCAAATGTTAACAAAAAAATGTTAAAAAATAATAACAGACAATAAAAAAAAATGTATATATTCAAAAAAATTTTTTTTTTTACTGATAATTATGAACTAATTGTAATTTAATTTGTTAAATATTTTTGGTAAATCAATTGTTTTAAAAATCTTTTTTTTTTTTTTGTTGCACAATTTTATATATATATTTTGTGTACTTTATTGCTAAATCTTACCTTATCTGGAAGCATTTGGTCAAAAAATGTTAAAATATAATTTGTTAGATATAATTTTTTTTTTAGGTTGCAAGCCAAATGCATTGATTATACCTATAGCCTGTTCTACTGAAAATGTACTTTTATGGCATTTATACTTTTCATACAACTTTTATCTTTAACATCGTGTTTTCATAATATAATTGTTATAATTCATAAAATATTTGTTGATTTAATGCTAAACTAATTTATTTATATTATTTACATAATATAGTATTGTATATTACGTTTTTGGAATATATTTTGGTTTAGAAAAATAGTGGCATTACATATTTATCTTTATCCATGCCTATTTATTTAGAGGTAAGCTATGTTTATTTTCTTAAAATGAATTTTATTTTATAAATTTAAACTTAAGTTTATTTGTTTATTTTTAACCATAAATCAACTAATGCAGTATAATATAACCAGTAATCAAACAATTGTATACAATAAAAAATCAACATTAATAATAATTAAATAGAATTGAAGACTTTGAAGACGTTTTATTACTTTTAAATAGTATATTAATTTAAAGTAATTTGTTCCAGTAATTTGTCAGAGTAATTTGTTCCCATAATTAGTTCTAGTAATATGTGCGGCGATTTGTTTCAATATAATATTCCAGTAATTTGTTGGAGTAATTTGTTCCCATAATATGTTGTAGTTATATGTTCCAGTAATTTATTTTAATAATACATTTTAGTAATTTGTTGAAGTAATTTATTCCCATAATATGTTCCAGTAATATGTTCCAGTAATATGTTCCAGTAATATGTTCCAGTAATATGTTCCAGTAATATGTTCCAGTAATATGTTCCAGTAATCTAGTCAGGTCAAAATTAGGATCATTATGATCAATCTACCACTGACAATATGTAAAAATAAAATAAAATCATGTCATGTTGCCTTATGCAACTCATTTTTCATATGTAAGTCTAGGTGAAGTCAATTCTGACTTGAATATCTTATGCTATAAGACTCTTGGTTGAGTAAAGGCTAAAGATGGTGCCGTCATGAAAATACTTATCTTGGACAGATGTTAACTGCAACTGGTTGAGTAAAGGCTAAAGACGGTGCCGTCATGAAAATACTTATCTTGGACAGATGTTAACTGCAACTGGTTGAGTAAAGGCTAAAGATAGTGCCGTCATGAAAATACTTATCTTGGACAGATGTTAACTGCAACTGGTTAAGTAAAGGCTAAAGATAGTGCCGTCAAGAACTTATCTTGGACAGATGTTAACTGCAACTGGTTGAGTAAAGGCTAAAGATAGTGCCGTCATGAACTTATCTTGAACAGATGTTAACTGCAACTGGTTACTGTTTTATAAAATGTCTCCTAAGAAAAGTTTTTACAGAAGTGCAGAAAGTTAATGATAACAAGTTAATAATTTAGTGTAGATGTAAGCATGTGTTGAATTTTGTCCTGCCTAGGATGATAAATGCTCAACATGACACTGTTAATACACCGATATTTTTAACCTGTTAATAGAATCAGCCCCTCTAAGAGCTACAACAACTTTTAAAAAACTTAAATACCCTTTTTTATGCACTTCCTTTTTAGTAATTATTTAGCTGTTTCTGCAATCCTCTAATGAGGATACAGCTCTAAAATTTCTTTTAATGGTTTTGAGGCTGGCTTGTATTTAAAACCTGTTGCAGCTCTTAGAAAGGCTGATTTTATCTACAGATAAGTCAAGTTTTCATGGTCTTTAAAGTGACTTTTCATTAATTGAATTTTACCTCTTGCAAAATCCATTAAACCTACTTGCTCTTTGTGAGACTAATTATATTTCAGTTATTTTAATTTCAGATATTTGGTTGATGGATATTATCCTTTCATTGGCTTTTAAAGCTTTACTAGTCACATGCTTGGCCTATTCATATACTTACATATAGATTCTGCTATTTGTCATGAAATTGGGTTTAAATCCTCTGCTTATACTTTTTTGTTTATGTTTAGCACCTCTACGCTTAGGGGGGAACTGGGATAAACCGGGTAATAGGAGAAAATGAGGTTTTGCTAATCCTTTTCAGAGCCTCAAAAATATTGTAATTATTTGGATTTGAAGAAACACAATACAAGACAACACCATCTTGAGCTATAGTCCACTTTTCATGCATCATTATTGTTACAAGTTTTCTTATTTCTTTCCAATTTTTTTAACTTACTACTTAAAAATCTAGTACTTAATAATTTGATCTAAAGTTTTTATTGCACCTTAATCATATTACATTGTTGACTAATAAAATAATAAATTGAATAATAATTTTAACAATAAAATCAACACAGTTTCGATTATAATACATTTTAATGTGTCACATTACAATAGGTAAAAAGAGGTAGTTACAATGGGGCAAAATGGATTTCTTTCACAATTTACCCAGACTTCGTCATTTTTTTAAAAACATGTAACTATACATCTATAATGCTTCTAGCTTAATTCTAAATTTATTCAATTAAATGGACAAATATATTATAGTAGGTTTTATATATAGCGCTGTTGACCTACTAGCTAGTGCTACTACTAGCATATTATTTTAGACCTATGACTCACTATAAATTATATTTTGCCTATAAGTTGTTATAGGATTTAGGCTATGGCTATAACTGGCTATAATATTATAAGTCTAAATTATTCATTATTACATAAATATTCCATTTTGCCCCAAGCATGGATCAAAAAGGAGTATTTGTATCCTTTATTTTTAAAGTTTAATAAATTAAAAAGTTTAAATTCTTCGATGTTCTTGCCTGTTACAATGCAGTCAATATTGTATTCTTTTATTTCCAAGTAAGTTTGTATTTACTTTTATAATTTTTGTTACTCTAGAATGGCTTTTACCATAAGTACCTCATTTTTACCCCAGTTTTCCTATAATCATTTTTTTTTATTTCTCATTCTCATTCTTTTCAAAACTAGACTCTTTTAGATGCTATTACATAAAAAATTGACCCTTTCTCTTTATTTACCAACCAATATTGTTGTTGTTGTTAAATTTTATGCTCATCACATTGACCTTGTATCACTGACCTTGCTGGCACTAAAATCTAAAAATTCTTTTTTTTTTTCTTAATCTTTAACTCAATTATTTAACTTTTGAAGTCAGTCATTTGTATTTCTATTTACACTCCCATTAGGGTTTTTTAAAACTTTAACAGTAACAGTAAAACAGCTGTTTTTTTAGCCTCGAAGAATCATTTCAAGATGCGTAGCATTAATGTCAATAAAACTGCTTAAAATACATCATTCAAAGAAAAGCCAGAAAATGAAAAGAGATAAAGACAATAAAAGATTTTTTATAACAATAAAGTCTTACAGAAGTTATTACAGACCTTGCAAGAGATGAAATATCTATAAGAGTAATTGCTAAAAATAGTTAAATAAGCAATAAGCAATCACTCGAGATGGATACAAGCTTCAAACAACAGAATGTGATGTAATGAAATTTTTTTCATAATGATTACAATAAAAAGAGAAACACAATGATGAAGTAAAGTACAGGATTGATAAATATTCTACTATAATAGGAAGACGATTTTTTTGGTATAAACCTCAGTAGTGATAAAAAATATTGAAAACTGGTTTTATGCATTTACTTGGCTCATGTTGTACTTTTAATTTAATTGAGGCGTATACATATATATATATATATATATTGAGGCGTATACATATATAGATGTGTATATTTATACATTTATATATATATATATATATATATATATATATATATATATATATATATATATATATATATATATATATATATATATATATATATACACGCACATATATATATATATAAATGTATAAATATATATATATATATATATATATATATATATATATATATATATATATATATATATATATATATATACACACATATATATATATAAATGTATATATATATACATATATATTTATATATACATACATATATATATATATATATATATATATATATATACATATATATATATATATATATATATATATATATATATATATATATATATATATATATATATATATATATATATATATATATATATATATATGTATATTTATATATATATATATATATATATATATATATATATATATATATATATATATATATATATATTTATACATATATATATATATATAAATATATATATATATATATTTTTTTTTATTTGCATTCACTCCCAACAAGGCTGCAAGCAACCACTATCAAGTTGGGAGTTACTAGGAAAAAAAAGAACAGAGTTATAGAGCAAGGAAACGGTTGACAGAAGACTTGAAAAGTTGAAGGTTGTATGAGTCAGGAAAACATGAAGTTGGGAGAGAGTTCCAAAGGATTGAAGTGCGGGGAAAAAAACTAGATGAATAAAAGTTTTTAGAGCATGCAGGGACAGATACAGTAAATGAATGAGACTTAGCTGAATGACGAGTAAAACGAGAATGAATTTTAGTTGATGGAACTAGAGATGATAACTCCTTTGAGCAGTGACCATGATAGTATCTGTAGAAAAGAGAAAGAGATGCAACTTTACGACGATGGGAAAGAGGTTCAAGCTTAGCAGATAGTCCAGGTCCAACAACATTTACAATGCGTTTTTGGACCTTGTCAAGAAGAGAAAGTGAATCGTTAGAAGAACCAGCCCAAATATGACAACAGTATTCCATACAGGGACGAATAAGAGATTTGTAGAGGTAGAGAATGGAATCAGAAGTAAGAAAATGGCGAGCACGATAAAGAGAAGCAACCTTAGCAGAAGCTAATTTAGCAATCGATTGTATATATGGTTTTCATGAAAGGTCAGTAGTAAGCAATAATCCAAGAAGACGTAAAGAGGACGACTCAGTAAGAGGATTGCCATTCATTAATATAGGAATGTTGACCATATTACGGTAGTTGTTTGCAGTAAGCAATTGGGTTTTTTTAGAGTTGAAATTCACAAGCCACTGTGAACCCCAATCTATTACTAATTCGTTTACTGTATCAGATTCAAGATCAGCTGCTTGTTCTAGGCGATCGAAAAGAGAAGACTTTTTGTCAAGACAGGAGTATAAAGTTGAGTCATCAGCAAAAAGAGCTACTTTAGACGAAAGGTTGTCAGGAAGATCGTTTATGTAGATAAGAAACAAAACAGGACCCAGGATGGAACCTTGAGGAACCCCAGAAGTTACTGGAAATAAAGAAGAGTGTTGGCCTTCAAGGATGACTTTATTAAACCGGTTAGAAAGAAATGATTTGATAATCTCAAAAACTTTCCCAGAAACACCATATGAAGCAAGCTTATGGAGAAGACCAGCATGCCAAACTTTGTT